TTTTGTCAGCCTAGCCAGTACAAGTCTTCACAGAAATATTGTCCTCCATTTGAGATATAAAAATGGGCCTTAAAACCAAAGACTTGTTAGATACATAAGTTTTGGTTAAGAATCCAACAAAAAAGCTGGAGAGATGATGTCTTGGGGGGTTAAGGGCACTTCCTGCTCTTCCTGAAGGAGCCAGCTTTGATTCCCAGCACCCACAGTAATCCCAGGCATGGTGAAGGAGTGAGAGGAACAGCAAGACCCTGGGTCGGCTTTTCCCAGATTCGCTTTGGAGGCTAGCTCGGCTCACCCTTTCCCTGACAGACCCCTCATTCCTTTGTGTCCAGTTTTCCAATACCAACACTAGTTGTTTGGGGGCTCATTGTCAGGCCTGCAGACCTATGTGTAAAGCTGCCAGCCCAAAGCCTATTGCCAAGGGAAGCTGGAGGTGCTGCCATTGTTCTGGCAGGGGTGCCTGGCCTCAGGTCCGGTGGTGTGGAGTAGTCTCTGTCTGTGCCCTTGGCAGCTCCAAGCTTTCAGACAGCGTTCTGTGTCCAAGGTCGCCAGGTTTATTTCCTGTGGGAGAATAATGAAATTATGAACAGATAAAATATGAATGTATTTATGTCACCGGCAAATTCAGGCTTGCCTTCCTTGTCCTTTTCCTGCATAGGAACTTCTTCCCTGTGATTTGGGAGGGGGCCTCTCTATGAAAGTGTCAGGTGAAGAACTACGGCTTTCCCAGCTTTTTGTCCTTACCGGTCTCAGTGCCCTGGAGTGCACTGCTGTTGTCAGAGACACACGTTGGATCATCAAGACCCAGTGAAAAATTGCTCATTAATTTTAGAAAGTGATTTTATTCTGGAACAATGACATTGTTAATACACTGAGTTTTATAAAATGCTTATCTCTCATTTGGTTTCTAGGAAAATTTAAAGTACAAACGAGATCCATTTCTGTTAGGTAATTCTGGTCCACACGTCTTCATTCACGTTACAAAGCAATCATTTGGGGTTGACTGAAACACTCTTATTTCACAGTTGATCAGACGGAGGCAGAGAGACTAAGTCACTTTGACTTAACTAAAAGCTAGAGAAAGGACTTCTGGCTCCACAGGCTACAGATATTGTGTCCCAACTACTTCCTAAAGCAATATATGCATTTAATTCCATGCCAAATGTACTCTGTGCATTTGACTTCTAGAACTGGGAGCTGAGGGATTGTCATAGCTGAGTGTATTACATTGGGTCTTTCTTTTATAATGCCCCCAACACTACCATTGTTATATATCAAGATCACCTGTTTGGGAGACAGTTATGATAGCACCCAGGCCACTAGACTGGAATTCAGGGGCCAAAAGTTCCAGGCCCAGAGTTTCCATGTGGCTATTGTCAAGTTATCTCGGGATCTCTAGTATGTGAAATGAGGTAAACTAAAGGGCTGTTTTCTTGGTTGTTTGAAAGCCCATTGTCAAGGTCAGGATGCCCCAGAGACTATACACAGGTTCATGAGAGCTTCGAGATGTTTTTCTTTCCTTTGAGTAAAAGACCAAGTAATTCTGGTTGTATCACCAGGAGCATGAATTATCAAAACACAAGAAACATATGTCTGCTGTATGCATATATATTATATACAGAAATGTGTTAATATAGTAATGTGTATATTCTATACATCTACATGTACATCATGCATAAATACATATGTACACATCTTAGATACATCCATGGCATTTGTATAGCAATAGGTAGCTATAAATATATGTACTCTACATATTTGTACATATGTGTGTATACATATGTATTACATATAATGTGGGGGGTATTCAGTTTTACCAATATACTGCCAACATTTTTAGAATAAAAAAGGCATAGGTACAATACAAGGCATTTTAGAAAGTATGGAAGAGAAACAAACAAGGAGCTTTTAAATTACTAACTGTCCAGTTTAAAATTTTTCTTTTATTTCTTATATTGTAATATAATTACATCGTTTCCCCTTTCCATTTTCTTCCTCCAAAACCTTCTGTATACCCCTTCATGCTCTCTTTCAAATTATTGACTTGTTTTCATTAATTGTTGCTGCATTCACATGTTTACATGTAGATATACCCAAACAGGATACACACACACATATATCCTGCTCAGTGTCTGTAATGTTACTTGTATGTTTGTTTTCAGGGCTGACCATCTGGTACTGGATAACCAATTGGACTATTTTTCTCACTCTTAGCATTCCAGACAAACTATATTTAGTATCTTCTCTGCTGTCTGCTCGTAATTCCCAGTTAGGATGAAGTCTCAGGTGTATTCTGTACTGACCCAATTGCTTCAAGTTAAAGCAGAGAAAGCACGGACAGACAGATAATACAGCTATTAGTTGTAGGCTGGATGTTTGTCACATGAGTGTTGAATGCTGTGAGTGATTGGTTGTTCCTGAGTCCTGAGTCCAAAAGCAGAGAACTTCAAGAACCAGACAACAGTGCCACTACACGGCGAGGCACTCCAGCCTGGCAGAGGTAGTGCCACCCAGGTTTCAGCATGACCTTCTGTGCACTCCACCCTTAACGGCATAAAAGGCAGGTACAAATGGCTCATTGCCTTCACCTATTTAAACAGTGGAGAAGGAAGTGAAATCTGAATCCTTTCATTGAGCAAAGGAGTTCGATCACTGAGGTCACTCCCTTTGCAAACCCAACCCATTCCACACGGTGTAGTCACAGCGCCATGAGCACCTTTCCCCCAAGGGCTTCCTTTCCCATCTCAAGTTCCTCCTCGTAATGTTATATGGTCCATAAGTCCATTTTTCTGTGTGTTTGGCTCTCTCTAAAGGCTTCTGTCTGATTCAGGGCTCAAGATTTTTGCTTTGCTTTTTGTTTTTTACTTACTATGAATTATTATTATTTTAGTTTTATTTCATGTGTATGAATATTTTATCTTCAGTTATACATGTACACTCATCTGTGTCTAGTGACTGTGGAGGTCAGAAGGGATCACATCTCCTGGAAGTGGAGTCACAGTAGTGAGACACTGTGTGGGTGCTGGGGAGGAAACTGGATCCTCTGGAAGAACAGCAAGTTCTTTTCATTGCTGAGCCATCTTCCAGTTCTGCGCTCATGTTTTGGACATATACTTTTCAGCCTACATAACCTCGTGTCTGGGGTAAATAGAAGAACTTAGTGTGGCCACAAAATTGGGAGTCTTGGATTTGCCCTTTGTCCACGTACTCTAGCAATTAAATGATAAACTTGATTAAAAGAAGAAGAAACATTTCACTGAGTGTAAAAGCCCTACAGTCTCCATGTTTGGACTTTTCCAACCCTTTGGCGATGACCAAAGCAAATCAAAATCAGGGCCACTACTTTTTTAAGGGAGAATGGAAAACACAGGTCCTTGTGTGTCTGCCCTTCAGAGCAGTACCCATGCTTGTCATCTGTGTGAGTTCCCGCATCTAAGCTAGCAGTTAATGCCCTGGAAGGACTTTATCCCAACAGGTGACACAGTTCAGATAAGAGGAGGGAGAAAGTCTGTAAGCATAAAGGTCTTCATTTAGACCTTTTAATTTGGGTCCTGAGTTTTGAAGTGAGTTATGACTTTTTATGTCCTTACATAAGACTGTCAACAATAAACTCATGATAGTAGCCCTGATGTCCTACACCATACTGTGTGGTTGTGGTGACCACGAACTCTGCCAGCTATGAGCCACTTTGTAAGTATAACACTGCATGCCCAAGAAATCTGTGTGCTCTTGTGGTGACGTCACCTTTTTAATCCCATTAGGCACACCTCAGTGTCGTCTTCTGTTATGGAGACTTTCCAGTTGTCTAGCAAATGAGTAAAATTCTCTCCATATAATTTGGTGCTAACATACCACTCAACCTGTTCCAGTCACCTACTGCCTACTGCCTGCAATTAGTGAACACACAACCACCTCGGCCAAATTCAATGAACCACCCCAAACCCAGGGACCGAACCATAGCCATTGGTTCTTGCTCATGAACCAAGGAGGATGTTCTTCCTCCCACTCAGACCTGTAACTGACCAGACCTGTTCTTATTGCAAGGGTGTAGCTTCAGATATGGGCTCAGCATATTGTCATATCTGTCTGGACACCTTTGGTTAAACCCAAAGCTCTTGTAGCATAGTACCCAGGATGAGGCAGCAGCCAAAATCTGATGATGGGTACAGCATTAGAATATTCATTTCCTCCTCCTCAAAGACATATCTACCCCACTGAAATAGAAACCCCTGGTGGGAGATATGGGGTGCAGAAGCCCACCTGTGTCTCTAGCACCTGCATCTCTGCCAGAGGCTGACATGAAGAAGATATTTCTTAGATACTTTCTAGAGTCTAAAGGATGCTCCTAGTCCTTTTCTTTGTACCAGGAATTTATAAACTATGGCTAATAGGGAAATCCCCTTTTTGTACAACTGTCCCGCTAAACATAAGGATTATTTCAAGAATAACAATTAATATTGAAGAGACTCAGAAAGACAGCCCTGCGGCTGAGAGCACATGAAAGCTCTTGCAAAGGACCCAAGTTCACTTCCTGACACAAGTGCTCACAATTGCCTATAACTCCAACCTGGAGGGAACCGTAGGCTTTTGCCTCTGCTGCCGCCTACACTCATGTGCAAAGACCTGTAAACACACAAACACACATGCTTACAACTGATATAAATTTTAAATTGAACCACTTGAGAATTATTTGGCACTCAAACTTTTGTGTCCATAAACAAAGTTTTATTGAAACACAGCCACACGCCCGCTCTGTCTATTGTCTCTGCCTTCTTCAGATATATAAAAGCAGTTGGAATTGGAGTTGCCATGGAAACCGTATGTCCCACAAATCTTAAAATATTTACTCTCTAGCCCGGTACAGAAGATGTCTGCCACTCCTACTTTATAGAATAAAGGCAGAGTTTGGGAGAGATGAGGGCAGGGCTCACGACTATAGATGTTCGTTGGATTATTTCCATGTTTGCTTGGAGTTAATAGCTTCTTCCTTTCCTCCCTAGTAACTGGCACCTGGAGACACTCATGTTTCAGTAATCAGGAAGCATCCCTATCGCCACTTCATGATCCAGGGGTCTGTGGCTCAGTGAAGTTCCCAAGGTGTACAGCATGACCTTGCTGCTCCTGGGCGCGGTGCTGCTGGTGGCCCAGCCCCAGCTTGTGCCTTCCCATCCGGCAGTTCCCGGTCCTGGGCCCAGACAGCAGGAGCTTCTGCGGAAGGTGGGTACCCTCCAGGAGGACATCCAAGAAGGTGCAGCGGCCAATGGTTCCACACAGCAGCTACCACAGACCATCATCATTGGGGTGCGCAAGGGTGGCACCCGAGCATTGTTGGAGATGCTCAGCCTGCATCCGGATGTGGCGGCGGCTGAGAATGAGGTCCATTTCTTTGACTGGGAGGAGCATTACAGTCAAGGCCTGGGCTGGTACCTAACCCAGATGCCCTTCTCCTCCCCGAACCAGCTCACCGTGGAGAAGACACCCGCCTACTTCACATCGCCCAAAGTGCCTGAGAGAATCCATAGCATGAACCCCGCCATCCGCCTGCTGCTCATCCTGAGGGACCCTTCGGAGCGCGTGCTGTCTGACTACACCCAGGTGTTGTACAACCACCTTCAGAAGCACAAGCCCTACCCGCCCATCGAAGACCTCCTGGTGAGGGACGGCCGGCTCAACTTAGACTACAAGGCTCTCAACCGCAGCCTGTACCATGCACACATGCTGAATTGGCTGCGTTTCTTCCCACTGGGCCACATCCACATTGTGGATGGTGACCGCCTCATCAGAGACCCTTTCCCTGAGATCCAGAAGGTCGAAAGGTTCCTGAAGCTGTCGCCGCAGATCAACGCCTCGAACTTCTACTTTAACAAAACCAAGGGCTTCTACTGCCTGAGGGACAGCGGCAAGGACCGCTGCTTACACGAGTCCAAAGGTCGGGCGCACCCCCAAGTGGATCCCAAATTGCTCGATAAACTGCACGAATATTTTCATGAGCCAAATAAGAAATTCTTCGAGCTCGTGGGAAGGACATTCGACTGGCATTGATTTGCCATCAGTTAGGCTCGGGACTTTCCCTGTTGTAACTTCTGGTGTACATCTGAGGGCGGGGTGGGGAAAGAATTTTAAAAAGGCGTTTAAGCTATAATTTATTTGTAAAACCCACAAAGGACTTCTGTACAGTATTAGATTCACAGTTGCCATATATAGTAGTTATATTTTTCTACTTGTTAAATGGAGGGTGTTTTGTATTGTTTTACATGGTTGTTAACATTGTGTATATGTCTCTATAATATGAAGGAACTTAACTATTGCACTGAAAAAAAATTCTGAAGACGTCTTTTTTTTTTTAATATAATTAACTTGCCTCCAATCCAAATAGCTGTCTGTTTGCACCCTTCTTGTCAAATCTATATTCTTTTTCTGTTTAAATTTTTTTATTTGTAGTATAGATTTCTCTGCGTTCTGAATTTGTTCTTTTAATTTTTAATGTCTCGCTGTGGTCATCAGATCAAGTTTCTACTTGCACTTTAAATTTCCTCTTCACGGAGAGTCTCTTATTTTTGGAAGTGACAGCTATATCCATTCTCAGGTCAGCCTGCATATGGGTCTAACACCTGCGGCCCTCATGTTGGTCTAACCCCTGTAGCCTGCATGTGGGCCTAGCCTCTGTAGCCTGCATATGGGTCAAACCCCTGCAGCCTTTATATGGATCTAACCTCTGCAGCTTGCATGTAGATTTAGCTCATATGAGTTTCAAGTGCATAAGATGGTACTGAGGACAGAAACACAGTTGATAACTGCAAAGAAATTCCCTAAGATCCAATTTCGTCTCGGAGGATATCTATGTATACCTCTGATCTCAGCAATGGGTGAAACCCCTAATAATAAGCAAGATAACACCCTTGGATTTCAAGATGAAAGGCTATAAACTTTGCCTTTTGGAGACATTGGTTTCTGAATATCTACTTAATAGAGAGAAGGAAACAGGCAAAGTCTCTTGGTGTGTGTCTGTCCATTCTGTAGCTTGCAGGAGAAGCAGAGTAAGGGGTAGCCTCTGCTCACTCTGCCTGGCATTTGTTTCCTGGGAGATCAGTATGCACCTATGATCTTCTATTTTATACTTAAAGACATATAAACATGTATGCTTCAAATTCAGTTCCAACTTTAAAGACCTGGGTAGGAAAGAAAATTGAAACTCCCAAGGGCTGAAGTTAAGCCATGGAAAAGTCACAGCAGAAAGCCTGTGCATCTGCGCACTTCAGTAAGAGTTTCGCTTCTCCCCAGAACAGCCTTTTAGCAGAAGCTGCTCACAACAGCCGGTTCTAAGCCTCTGGATTGCCGTGCGCTTCTTGTGCATACCTGTCAATCAGCCTTTAAATTAAACAAAGTAGACCCTTTCCGTAAGAAAGTCGCATGTGGTCATTACAGTAGGAGGGCATACTCACCACCAGTATGAAACCATTTCCTGACAGTCTGTTCGGAAGGAATGAAACACCAATAGGCGCTATTGATTGTATTCTCTATCTAATGCTCTCTGAAACTTCCTCCAAGCAAACTCAAGATGAAGGGGTTATTCTGGCAAGTTCAAAGACTAGAGAATAAGCCCACAAGCCCGGGGGACTTGCTGAAGGTCAGTCACACTGTCAGGTTCTGAGCCCAGTTGTAGCCAATGCAGGAGCAACCTGGTTCTCATTTATTTACTTCTACCCGGCTCTTTCTGAACTCTAAAGACATAGCTCAAACTCAGAGGAAATGTTTTTCTGACTTGACCTGACATGTCTTTCCTGGTGCCAAAAGTCTTCCGCCCTAAGAGCAGTGTTTGAGCTAAAGGAAGAGAAAGGGGGAAACAAAATATTTCTCTTCTGAGGGAAATGAGTCACGTTGGGTGTGCTAGTGGTCCCAACCTGACCCGACCGTTGTCTGGCCCACACCCCATTCCTGACTAGGCTCTATCAGCACAGAGGATGCTCTCCTCTTCGGGACCCATTAGGGTTGTCATTCAACCATTGCCTCCTCAGAAAGAGTATTTATAGCCGATCTCTATAGACTTTGTGATATGCAGGGCGCTTCCCTCTGCAGCGTATCCTTGGGATTTTATGCCATTTAACCTGAAGAATGAGAGCACCCACAAAGGTTAAATTAAGTTTCCAAAGCTGCCCGGCGATGTTGTGAATGAAAGGAGACACTAGTAGGAATCCCTAGTGCCCAAGAAGATGCCTGGGTGGAGATGCTATGATTGGAGCCTGGTCTGCTACATACAGGGGTGCTGGTTAGGAATGCAGAAAGTTGGAACTGGTACCAGGGCTAAGTTTCAGCTGTTAGAACTAGCATAGCTGATGACGTGAGGTAACACACTGTAAGATATTAGTAAATGTAAATTCTTTTAATTGCTTTGCTGGGGCACAAAATATTGACTTGGGGAATCATATTCCTGCATACCACCAGGGAAGATACCAGGGCCCCAGTGGGTTATCAGTACATTCTAAGGAGCAAGGAAACATCACTTCCTACTTTGCTCCAGGTATCATTCAAGCCTTCAGAGGATGATGCAATGGACCCATGGCCATTCCTGTCAGAGCAAAATGCAGTGAGGCAGGAGTCAAATGGTATTTGGTTCCTCGTAACTGTATTGCATGCCAATCCTATTAACAAAGACAGTATCCTGATGGGAGTTGTAGGTTCCTGCTCCAGCCAGGTCACAGTCACCTGAGAGTTCCAGAGAGGCAGCTGAGATCTGTGGAGTCAAGCATCACCTATGGGGTTGGATTCACACCTTCTTTGTTATTCCAGAGTAAGAATAGCATCCATATTCCCTCCTTCAGGAATCACGCAGTGTTAAAATCCTGTTGATATGTGACTATCAGTTAGTAGCCTGGAAATTGATTAGTTTAGGAAAAACTATGATAGGCATCTGAGCTCAGGCTCCCTTGTTCTTTCTATTCTCAGGAGAAGAGACATGAGGGGTAGAATAGGCCAGTGTCCATCATGTCTGTTGCTTAGAGATGTGGGCACAAAGGTCATTCTATTTATTAGAATGACCTTTTTCTTAGTTCTATTATGTAGCAAGTGTGGTGTTAATTCTTTAAAAGAATAAAAAGAAAATCCAGAGGAAATAATAGTCATTGACTGTATGGGGTTTTAATAAGAACCAAAGTGTTAAGAAGGCAAGAGAAAGGGTCTTGAGTTGTGTACAGATGGAACAGGACAATAAGTTTGGCATCAACTCAGCCACATCCATAGAAGTAATCTGCTAGCCCACATGAAAAGAATGAATGAGGAATGAGATATGAGATTTTCCTGATTTTCAATCCTTTCCTTCATTCTTTTTTAGAAGGAAGAAAAAATATTACCTAAAGTTTGCATTAGAGGTGTGGCAAAGCCACTTAATTCAAGGATCACAAAGACCCTGGCCTTTTGTAGGAAGACTTTGTGGAGGAATTGCCCTGGAGCCAGAAAATGAAAGCCATTGATGTTACCAAAGGGGAAAATCCCACATAAGGACATCTCTTGAATCAGAAAGTAGTGATGGAGAAGGGAAAGGAGGTGGGAAAAGCACAGGAAAAGTCCTGTCTAACAAGTGGGTAGCTTGGATTAAACACATTAAACAACCAAGACATATCAGCCACCTATAGCCACTGAAGCTAGTTTCCAAGATGGAGGTGCTGAACACCTCACAGCCCCCCCCATATGCCTTTGACTCCTGTATAGGTTTATTGATTACATAAGAATAACCATCATACTTACTATGTGCTTGGTATCTTAAATAAATTGCTTCTAACCTACATGCAAACTCTGAGAGATAAGAAATAGTGCCCTAGTTTCATAAAGAAGAAATTCAAGATCAGAGATTAAAGGGCTTTCCTGTGATGAAAGAGAAAGTTTTTAGTTCATTTGCATGTTTTTTATAGTGTCCTAAATCTAATCAATTTCCATCCAACTCGTGGTGAGTAAAGGGAAGAAGTAATACACAGACACCTGTCAAGATGACGACATCTAACACAGAAGTTATAGGGTATGAGGTTGGACACAGGATGACACTGGAAAGTCACCTGGCATAGAACCACACGTGAAGGATGTCTTAAGGTGTGTTGCAACCAACAGAAATTAAAAGGAAAAAATAAATCACTGAGCATGAGATAAAGGGCAGAAGTAGCCTTGAATCTTCAGGTCACACTGGGGCCAAAAGAGCTCCATTTTCCTCAAATTCTACAGTTAGGTAAAAAGAAAGAAGAAGCAATTATACTAAGGAGACCTGGATGTAGATTCATTTTGGGCCATGTGACCTTCAGCTCAAATTTTCAGAGCCTTAATTTCTTTTTTGGTGAAAATGGGTTAATGTTTCACTCAGTTTGGGGGAAAAATCAATGAGATGAATTGGCAAGCCCATCAAGCTGGTGCACACGTATGGCTTAATGGGGAACAAGGCTAAGGGGTTTAAGAGACAGACAGGCACTGATTTAAAGCGGTCAGCAGAACCTCGCTGTCTTTGTTCATTCATCCACCTCCTAGCTATGTGACTATAGGCATTGCTGTTAGTGGCCCAGGCAATTCCTGTTTTCCAATCCATCTCCATCTTCCATCTCCCACAAAGGCAGACTATTAACAACTATACAGGAATGCATTCTTGAAGTTTTAGCCAAAGTCATGTTACCTAGAGATGGCTATACCCCCTCTTGCTGGGAGCAAGTCACTAATGTTTGACTGGTGTGTTGTGGAGGAGAGTGAGCTGGGGGGTGATGGGGAATGGCTCAGTTTCCATGCCTCTGCACAGGTGACTTCACAGTACAATGTCTAATCATGGCTCCTCCTGAAATTAGCCTAGATCCGAACTCCTAAAAAAATTGCCTATATGTTTCTCCTCATACTTTTCTCCTCCTGTCATTGTGGTCATTGCTTTTGCCACCACATCATCAGTAAATGAATCCCAGCTCAACTTTTGCTTCTAGGACACTCAGATGGTTAGATGTGCATTCATGTCTTATTCTATTTACATAATATTTAGTATGACCAGCCTATAGACATCATTTTTCTAGTTAAATACAGAGTAGAAAACAAGTCTATCTTATTGGTTATCATATAGAAGGATTAATTATTATAACAGATGAAATTATTATCAAGTAACTCTTTTTTTTTTTGGATTTTTAGACTACCATCAAAACCCCATCAATGTAGTTTGGAATGTTGGAACATGCCTACAATCCCAGCATGTGTGAGTTTGAGGCAATGGGATCACTAGTTCAAAGCCAGCAGGAGCTACATAGGGAGACCCCATCTCAGGAAAGAAAAAAAGCATTATTACATCATTGTAAAACTTCAGGTTCCAGTTCACAAAATATTTCCGGGTCCTATAGAGAAAATTGCATTGCTTTGATTTATTTCTGTCCCACTGTACAGTAATCCTATTCATTTGCAATGTTCCTTTCAGGGTCAGTACAGGGCTGAGCCTTCCTCTCGAGTCAACCTTGTGGTACTTTGCATTGTGCTTGCCAAGGTAGGAGGTAGACAGAAAGTACTTGTTTGCGGCTTGGATGATGAATCTTGTCTAGTTGTCAATCTAATGTGAAAATTCTCTCCATCACATCCCAGTCTCACAGTGTGGCCTCCCCCTGGGAGTCCTTTATTTGGTCCAGGAACTGCTAGGCACTTAACAATATGGTGTTTTATTCAGTCCTCGAAAACCCCCGGGGAAATAACCAAGCTGAGTCCTATGTGTTTGCTTATTAACATATCACCAGCAAATAGTACAATACTTGATGTTGGAGTTGCAAATGTTTATAAACTAAACAAATCCTTTTTCTGTCCAGCCTCCTTCTACCCTGCTATACTCTTCTGCCTCTTGAATATTAAACTAACTGATAATTCAGTATTCTCCTAGGCAACCCATTATGTTTTCAAACCGACCATGGACATTCATACTTTCTAGACTTATATTCTCTAGCTTTTGCCTATAGATCCACTAATGAATATTTCTTAAATCCCAAATATCTGGGTTTAAAAGTTTTAATATTTATTTATTTGTGCATTTTCTTATCCATTTACTGTGTGGGTGAGTATGCAATGTCACATTTCCTATTTGGAGGTCAGAAGACAATTTGTGGGAGTCAGCTCTCTCTTTCTACCATGTAGTTTCTGGGGAATGAACTCTAATCTTCATACTTGGGGGCAAACATCCTTAAACATTAAGCCATTTCATCAGTCAAAATTTAGAGCTTTATAGTAGCCTTGTTTATAGTTAAATGAATTTGGACAAATTCCTTTATTTCTCTGAATTTCCAGTAGGAGAAATAATGCCTTTCCCACAATGTCTCTGAGTAATACTTGAATAATGGATAATTGAACACTTTTGAAGTCATAATTCCATAAGCATTAGGTAAATCATATTTCAGTCTTTGTAGCAACTGACAGGCCTTTGTTGCCATTAACCTTGTTTATGCATGAGGAAACCAGAGGACAGTGATGGCATTTGCCTAGACTCCTGTCTAGTAAGAAAGAACTATAGCTCACGCCTTGGTAGTCTCTTGGGCTCCAGAACTTTCCCTTGGATAGTCTCTAGGACACTTAATCTCCAGAACTCTCCACTGGGTGGTCTCTAGGATACTTGATCTTCAGAACTCTCCCCTGGGTCGTCTATAGCACACTTGATCTCCAGAACTCTCCCCTGGTGGTCTCTAGTACACTTGATCTCTAGATCTCCAGAACTCTCCCCTGGTGGTCCGTAGCACATTTGATCTCCAGAACTCTCCCCTAGGTGGTCTCTAGAACACGCTTGATCTCCAGGCTTCATTCCAAAGAAGAAGAAGAGAGATCCTTTGTCAGTGACAAAAGTAAGTGCAAAGAAGTCAAAGAGCTTGAAGAGCTCAAGACAAATACCACTCAAAAGTCTCTTTTAGAAAGAATTTTAGAATGGCCCCAAGACACCCACCCCATTGGTGTATATTTCTTGTTTAGCAACCTCCCCTCACATCTCAGTAATATTTGAAAAGATGTGCAATTTATTATCTTAACTCTATGTGGCAAAAGTAATGGGATGTGATTAAGTAGACTAGTTCAGAAATAGAGGGAGTAGGAGATAAAGGACAGAGAGATCAATATCACTGGCTTTGCCTTCAATGCATAACTAGACTCTGAGAAATGATATAATAAAGGACTGTTGTAAATAGTAGTCTCTAAGAATATTTCTAGAAACATTCAGCAGGGGTGTTTGCAAAATTCTCATTTTTCCAACAATGGCAGGGAAAAAGATACTTATTAGAAAATGTTCTGGCTATAACCTTGTTTGCTTCTGGGAAGACTACCCCAGGGTAGGCTTGGATTCCGGAGTCGCACTGAGCTAATAGATGTGTCTTGTTTTAACCTGCTAGTATCTAGTAACATTCTTACTTTTATGTCAATACAAAGTTGAGTCAATTTTTCTAGTCCATGCAAATGGCTTATGCTCTCTATATCATCCTTCAAAACAAACAAAATCCATGTTTTTGTTGTTGTTACCAAATAAATATATGTACATCATATAATAACCAAAGTCTTCATTTATGAGTACTCACACAAATTATTGACAGCATTCATGCTTATATCCTTCTGATTTTTTTCAACATGAGACCCACACCACCTTGCGCTGTATTTTTATATCTTTGATCTTATCACTCCCTGCCTAATACAGGCATGTGGCTCCATACACTGCCTATAGAAGCTAGTATCTCATCCATGTCTTGATATAGAGCAGAAGTCCAGATAGAAGTTTCCAGTTAAAGCGAAGTCCAGATAGAAGTTTCCAGTTAAAGCTGTGCTTCTTGATTAGTAGTGTTTTGGAAGTGAAGGTAGTTTCAGACTGACCTGGTTTACTTTCTATTCACCTCTCTGTAGCAAGACACACTGACTCAGTGGCAAATGCCCAATCTCATAGACCCGGGAAGTTAGAGGAGAGTAACTGGACACATCTGACCTCACAGAGCCTCTCATGTAATCAGATGTTGGCAACGAAAGAAAACACCCTCCTCTCCCCCAGCTCTCTCTCCCTCCCTTTCTTCCTCTTTCCATTTTGCCAACTTGGGTGTGTCCATAGCATGACAGAACTAGGATAAAAGGCAGACATCACCTGTGGTTGGCTTGTTCTAGAGAGCTCCAAAAGAGAAAGTTAACAGACAATGAAGCGAACATGTCGTGACATTCTGCTGTTCCAAAACTAGCAGCTGGGATTCCGTAAGGGAAAGGACCATACAAGGGGCTAAATAATAGGAGGTGTTGTTCATGGGGGTCCATTTAGAGAGGCTACCTGCTTATTTGCCTACTACACATTCTTTAACAATAAAATGGACAGCACACCTGCTTAGTGGATCATTGGTCATACTTTAAGGGGGGATTAATATAGGTTTAAGCTTTCATGATATCAAAGTCCATTACACTAATGCATGTTATTATAAGTCCTTGTGCCTCCTATGTAATTTCAGCAATTTTGACCTCAGTCATTTGACTCTTTTCAACCCAATCCTTTGATGATATTGATGGTGATTAAGTGATTTTACATAAATCCATCCACAACACCGATAGAATGCAGGCTTGTTGCTATGTTGCTTCTTCTGCAATTTTGCTGTGTGATTCCACAGAGCCATTTAAAGAACAGACACACTTAAAACAAATTGCAGGTTGAAAGCTCCTTGGGAAACTGTGCTATATGGAAGAACACAGCCTGGCAGACCTACCACACTTCTTAGACAATTTGTCAAACACTAAAAAGTGTTGCTGAGACTTTTAACACTGGATATTAAAAGCTATGTATGGCATTCAAACGCGAATGCATGGCAGGTTCTATTTCCAGCTTCCCAATTTGGAAGTTCTATCTTTAGCAGCAATTTACATTTTCCACACAATTAAAGACTACCTAATTCTGATTTGCTCTTCAAGTATACAATTCATCTGTAATTTACATCTTTTATTTATCTGTTAATCCCCTCAGAAACACACAGCCACACACACGCACAAAAAAGAAAATGCCAGGTTTTAAATGTTGGCAAAAGAACTTAGAAACTGAGTGGTACTAGAAAATATGGACTAAGCATCTCAGAGGATCAGTTTGCCGGCATGTTGAACAAAAATTAGAAATGACTCTAGCTCTTAAAGCCTACAAGCATATCCAGGAACACAGGTACATCCAGCATTTATATACTTAATAGTATTTAACATACTTTCCATCTAAATGGTCCTTCAGTAGCAATTTACAACTGGCAATATAGCATTCCTTCAGCCATAACTGAAACACCCTAAACACCAACAACAATACATCTAAATTTTATTTTTAAAATGAACTGCGTCTCTACATATGCATAGTCACAGAGATTGAATTAAGGTTCTGGGTAGTTGTGATATAGTCAGAAAATGCATACTATATTTTGGTCTCATCTCTTTCTTGACTAGGAGTTTCTAAACTTTTGGATTTCTTAAGTATTAAGAAAAATAAAGGAAAAACCTTTGGTTAATCATAAAAGGTCATTCTTTAGTGTGTGCCAATGAAAAGTCTTTGCATTGGACAATGATAGGATAGAATACAGTTACCAGAGGGGCCAGCCTTGTCACTAGAAGTTGTGAGTTTCCTCCCACTACCACTACTTTGGCCTTCTAGGTTACAGACAGCAGGCAATGAAGGTTGAATTATATGTTCAACAATTTAATTAACTGGAGTCTCCTGAGCAAAACTTCTGTAACAGTATAAAAAAATTGACCCAAGCAAATAGAATCTCGAGAGGCCCTGAGCTCATGGAGATGTGAAAGCCTTGGGTGGGACTTGCAACAATTACATGGAAGCTTCTTGACCCTATGTCATTCCTTTCTTTGCCTGTTCCCAAACTGTATCGTTGGTAATAAACTGTTAATCAAATGAGGACACTATGTGTTGCACGAGTTCTAATTGTTCTTAATAATAAAAACCCAGAGCCAGATACTGGGGCAAATGCCAAATGATCAGAGAGAGAAAGGAGCAAGCCACAGCCAACTCTTGCCTTGCTAACTCCTCAACTGAAAGAGGGCTGAGCTACTGTCTCCTCCTACATGATATTCCTTTCTCCACCTAGCTTTATCAATTCCTGTCTGTCTCTACAGATTTCCAGATATCTATGGTTAACTATGGCTAGCTCTTACCTCTGGTTTTCAGGAAAGCTTTATTTGTTAGAGTACAAACACGATATCACCACAGATATTAAATTCCATTAGGCATTCTAGAAAATGATAGAACACGAAGAAAGGATTTAGGAACATTTAATTTGTAGCAAATGAATCAGAAATGCTATAGGTTATATGGATGTTCATTGTCACCTAAAATTTATGGAGCTCAGTCTTTTACCTATGAAATCAGAGGGTACCTTAGAATATTGTCAGACTTAAAATAAATACCAGGACTCTGGGGTAGTATCTGTCAAGAACTGGAGAAGTGTTTGTTGTGAGGAAAAAAAAAACACTCAATATATTTAATGACCAACAGAAACAAAACAGTGGGTGAGTGATTCAAAATATAGACAAAGACATTTGTATTTATTGTGCTATCAACAAATGCAATTTTTTGAGCCAACTATCTGAAAAGTAAAGGTCATTTTGTTTCCATGTAATATTCAAATAGTGAAAAAGTAAAGGCAGGATGCTCCCTGTTTCTTCTCTAAGTGATGCAGATAAGGACATCATTTTTAAAAAGTGCTTGAAGTAAGCCATGTGGAAATTAATTTTTATCCCTTTGGGAAGTAGAGGTTGTTAACTATTTCACAAACATAAAGTGGCTTCTTTTTTATTTTAGCAGTTTATTTTTTAATCTTGCCACAGTTATTCCTTGAAAATGAAGCTTTTCGCCTCTGTAAATGTGCAGCAACCTATTTAATTTTCTTTTCCTTCCCTGGGGAGAGAGGATGACAATGTGGAAAGCAACCTTGCAGGAGTTTTAAGTGCTGCAGGTGTTGTAGCCTCACCATGTCCACATAGAGTCAAGGGTAATTTTATTCACAGTTGAAAGGCAGAAACAGACAATTGGATCAGTTACTTTTCTATTGCTGTGTTAAAACACCATGGCCAAGGCAACTCATAGAAAGAAGGGTTCATTGGGGGCTTACAGTTACACAGTGTTAAAGTCCATTATAGTGGAGTAGAGGTAACATTTGAGAGCTCACAACTCCAACCACAAATACGAAGCAGAGACAGTGCACTCAAAATGTTGGAAGCCTTTTGATACTTCAAAATCCCACCCCCAGTGACATACATCTTCCAACAAGACCACACCTCCCACACTTCCCCAGTCAGGCACCAACTGGGGACAAAGTATTCCAATTCTGGATTCTTATGAGGGACATCTCTTTCAAATTATAACACCAAGTGTTCTCAGTACTGGATAGATAAAATACAATGTAGCCATGTGATACTTATTATTACTATGACATTTAATCAAATATCTATGCACTAGAATCACACTGTTATCAGGTACCTATTTTTCCTGGTGGCTCCTGGGGAACTTTCTTTCCTTGGAATCCCAAGTCAGCGTATCACAGATATATTTTCACCTTACCTATTTACAATAGCTAAACTACAACCCCAATTTAATGTTCAACAGCAGAGGAATGAACAAAGAAAATGCAGTGTATATATGTATATTTATATAGTACATACACGGACAGCTACAGACAAATATCCATATTAACTCAGTTATATAAAGAAAGCTGTCTAACCTATGTCAGATTGCCTTCACCTAGAGTCTGCCTCTTGATCTGCTTTTATAGAGCTCTGCAGACAACTCAGAACAGGCTCTCACCTCAAAATTCTAAACCCCATGCACAAATTCCCTTGCCATATAAACTAGCTTATTCACAGAATGTCATGGCTTAGGTCATGGTTATCTCCAAGGTTTTCATCCTGTCTCTTGAAAATCTCCAGGACAGAGTTCGGATCTGCCTAAAGATATAGACTCATGGTGAGCAGCCTCAGGTTGGAGATACAAGACAAGAAGAAGAAGAGCAGACTTCCTACACGGAAGGCCCTCTGCTCATCTAAGGAGCCCAGTTCTCCAAAACTATTTATTTAAGAAATGGAGGGGAGACTTGGTTTGATAGTTTTGACAGCTAACTCTGATAGCCCAAGGCTGATTTCTGATTCTAGGCCAGGTTTATACTGAGAAGTAGAGTCAATATGGTAGGGTTGTCTTGTCTCTGGTTCTTCTGATCTCAAATCACATTTGGCGCCTTTCTGTCTGCATTTCAAAATCCAAGTTAAGGGCTAGTGTCTCAGATGCTCCCTCTATTCTGGAGGTGCCTGTGGCCCAGTGAAGGGGACAGAGATGTAAACAGAGACTGTGTTCTCTTCTGACCACCCAGTAAAGCCTTTGCTGTTGCTGATATATTGGTTATAACTATGATCTGGACAACTCCCCTCAAAGTGGGAAATGGAGTGACTGCTCCCAGGGGGCATAGTCCGGTTTTACTGTATTTGAGAAATGCCCTAGAAGTGGGTTGCAGTATTCAGACACATACTGTGCATGACTGCCTGTTACCTAGGCCCAAGTTTTCCATTCTACCAACTGATCAGAAGGTTGAGGCCATAGGCATGGGTGAGACAGTAAAGGAAATGGAGTGGATTTGTAAGTAACTTACAAGTGCCTTTAGGACCTGTCCATCCTAATGGCTCTGATGATTACAACAGACACATTCTAATGATGCAATATCATGAAGTTAGTTATGTCAGAGCTAAGTAGACTTAACATACTGAAAAATTCAAGAAACTGCTTCCATAATCAGTGACAAGTCCTTGAGATTGCTAATGCACCTGTGTGCACCTGTGTGCTCCTCAGATAACACCTACTCAGCAAAGGTCTGGGAAATTCAACCTCTCCTTGTAATAAAAGTACATAAGCCGGGCGGTAGTGGCGCATGCCTTTAATCCCAGCACTTGGGAGGCAGAGGCAGGCGGATCTCTGTGAGTTTGAGACCAGCCTGGTCTACAAGAACTAGTTCCAGGACAGGCTCCAAAACCACAGAGAAACCCTGTCTCAAAAAACCAAAAAAAAAAAAGTACATATATATATATATGTGTGTGTGTGTGTGTGTGTAACACACATTTGTAATACATACACACATCAATTTCAATGATAGAAAATGAAGTTCAGATTTAAAATATATAGTATATAGTATGTATATAGAGCTAACTATATATACATTCTATATAGCATATATATATAGTATATTTATTCTTTCTTGTATTTCTTTTATAAATAGCACTCAATTCTTAAAGTATTAACTGTGTGTTTCTTAAGATTGGATGCTATTTTGACTTTCCTGACAGGAGCTTGTTTTTGTAAGAATAGAGACTTTGTATTTCCTAGAAGACCTGAAGCCTATAAAGTCGAAGAGTTGCAAATGAATGAATGAATGAATGAATGAAGGGAGTGAGTGAATAAATAGTCTTTTCAGCTGCTTCACTAATTGTCTCTAGGAAATAAAGAACATGTTGAAGATCTACAGAGGGAGAGCTTTGTGAGGATCTGTCATGGGTCTCTGTGGTTTATGCCTTCTCTCAATATGAAAAGTGAGACTTGAACATCAAAAACACATAGACAAGAACAGCACTGGAATTCTAAGCCAGGCCTATTTTATCATCTTCTGCTGCTACTCACTGCATATGAACAGCACAGAGCAGTTGGTTAGGGACATGGAGCTGTAAAGGGTTCCCTACGACGATAGTAATATGAGGCCATCCTTACACCTTAGATGGATCTATAAACTGTCCACAAAGACCACAGTAGCATGAGGCCCTCCTTAAACCTTAGACAGAACTGTAAACTGTCTACAAAGACCAAAGCAATATGAGGCCATCCTTACATATTTTATATTACCACAACACACTGTCTCAAACAAATGCTGCAGGTTTTCAAACATCCATGTTTGAGATATCTAAAAATAAAAATCCCCATTTTGTGTAGGGAATGAAGAAAAAAGAATGGAGGGGATCAGGACAGGGAGTCACAGAAGAGAATAAGAGTATGACCTAGTAAAGCATTTCATTAGTTTTTTTATTCAAATCTTCATATTAATAGTTCATCCTTGGCCAGGGGTTATGCACTTGAAGTTGTTTACCTTCCTAGAGGTATTTCTCCTTAGTTTCTTGGGAAGGTATCCTTTGCACTTGCCAAAGGAAAGTCCAGAGGCTCCTCCTTGCTGGGGCCTCCTTTCACTAACTTCAGACTAGCTCAGCTAAGTCTCAGGCTGCCCTTCCCTGAAAACAGTCAGGGACTCAAAGAGCAATGAATGTACTCTCAGTATGGGGGAGAATCACCTTTGTACACACAGTATCAGACTGTGTACCTTAGACAGGCATAGAAAAGAGAATAACAAAGAGTGGCCTTCCTCTCTTTGAGCTCTTGTTTTATCTATGTATCTAGACAGCAGAACATAGGCATGGTACATCTGGTCTCAGTTTATGTACTGGCTCTTGGATTTTTGGGGGAAAGAATCTCCTCTAAGCCTCAAATCTTCTAAAAAAAACTGTCATAAGAGTGGATAATTTGCAAGGTCTGTGCAATTTCAAATATGTTACAGACTTTCCTAGGTGATAAGAAGAGGAAAGAGGTTAAAGGAAAGGCTTAGTGCCTAAGGGAGCATGATGCTCTTGAAGAGGAAATGAGTTTGATTTCCAGCACTTACATCTACTTGGAACTCCTGCCTAAGGGGATCTGATGCCACAGGTCTCCCTGAGAGTCTACACGCATGTACATATATCATCCCTACATACACACAGACAACAAACATACACATACACAAACTGTGGTGGTTTGAAAGAAAATGGCGCCCAAAGGGAGTGGCACTATTAGGAAGTGTGGTCTTGTTGAAATGGATATGGCCTTTTTAGGAA